ACAAGTTTATGCGGGTGCTAGTGAAATAGGTATGTTGAGTGAGAGCGAGTTGGAGCTTGTGATTATATATACTGAATTTATCCACAAAGTGATATATTTATATCTCGCATAGGTATTTAACTGCTTGTTACCAAGAGGAAGCTTTTTTGTATATTTGAAAATAATTTAAACGGCATTTACCAGGATTGGCTTTGATTATAGTTTATTATTTATCTAATTAAATTATTATTTTATTTAAGATTATTAAACTACATATTAAATAATGTTAACTAAACAGTATTCCGTTGTATTATTTATACGGGTTGAATCATAAAAAAAATAACTATAGTATCTTGAAAGAGTAAAAGAAAATTTGGTAGATTTCACACTTTTATTTTAAAAATATAAAAATTTTAAAAATTCAGATAACTTACTAAATGATCAATTAGATATTAATAATTCACCCTTATTAAATCTCTTTCCTAGTTTCCTATGAGATAATCCCGGTAATGTGCTATCTTATTGTTATCTGATTGATATTGTAATTACCTAAGTACCCTTATTTACTTTAAATAGTTAGTTTATTTTGTAATGTTATTGATGTTTTTCTTAAGTACTTTGTTTTGTTAAATTATTTCGTATATATATTGGATACCGAATTGTAAATAGTCACATTTGAAAAAGAAGTTGTACTTCGAAACATATGTCATGTTAGTGTTTTAAAAAAAAAAAATTATATTTTTAAAATAAAAGTGTGAAAATCTACCAAATTTGGTTTTACTTTTTCAAGATTAAATGGATTTTCATCAAGTAAAGGCCGAAACAATAAATAACTGTAGTATCTTTCAAAAAATGCTTTTAATTTTTGAACAACCGTCATTTTAGATATAGCTTAGCCTTTTGTTTCAAAAATTGAACATGCAACGTCAATAATCAGAAATATAAGGTTTTCAGAATAAAATAGGAAGAAGTATATTCTAAATTTAGAGAAAACAATGAAGGTGTACATCTAGGTACTGTTCTAGGTCCAATTGCTGGGGTAGTTATTCCTTGTTGGCCTGTCAAGATTTTTTTTACTAAACAATCGCATGGAATACGGACCTTTCTTTTGGCAACTTCCCCAAAATGAGAAGCCGTTAGCCGAAATCTTCTTTCCTCCAAGTATCTTAGGTTGCTGAACTGTCCTATAGTTTCTTCTGATATTTGTTGTTGTTGCTTACTCGTTACCTAAAAATATTTAAATATAAAATCATGTAAAAAGTAAAAACGTAATATTCGTGTTAATACCTTTAGTAGGTCAATTAATTTATTAACTTTTTCTTTACAACATTCATCGCTGATACCTCAGCAATATTAGATCTGTACTCCGTTGTTTCTGATGGTTTTGGTTTTTTTATAGCCTTACTTTTTCTAAAAGTAGGTTTTCTTTTAGTATTGTCACGCTCCTCATTATTTATCCATTTTCTTAGAAAATAGGGTGCTTCTCTATTAAAGCATTGCTTCCAAATTTTGATGTGCCAATTAACTCCATTATTGTAACGAAGAGCGCTCAAAACACACCTACTTTGGAAACCGTTCTTTTGAATGAGATTTAATCGTTTTCCCATATTGAAACGAGCAAATTCTCGAATGTTTTAAAACAATGTGTCCATTCTTTGGTAGAGTTTAGGGAACTAGGTTTAGCTTCAAACTGCTCCGGGCATAAAAATGTGTCAATAATGTTAAATAAATTGAAATAAACCTTGAACTTTTAGGCTTTATTTAACATTAAACTTTGACAATAACAAAATGTAAATAACTAAATGGATACGAGTTAGAACATACTATAACTATAAGATAAGAACATACTATAAACTAATAAACAGTAATATAGTACATTATACTTATTTTCTTACCAAATAACAAACTCGAACCTCGAACTCGTGGGCCATTCTTAACTTCTTTCTTCTTTTTTATCTTTGAGTCTGGCTTGAATGGCCTTTTACTTTGTATCTTGTCAGCTTAGTAGTATGAAGTTCATGGACACCCAGTACATTATGTGGACAAAATATGGACGTCCAGTATTATCACAGAAAAATTATCAGGCTATGCTACATAATATAACTATTACCTATTAAGAAGTCTGCACTATTTATATATAAAATAAATAATAATGGCCCAAAAAATTACTCTTGTAAGCTCATGCTGTCTATATCGCCATATAATACAAATAATGTAAAAATCATTGATTGAAAATATTGAAAAACATTGACGGGAATGGTATAAAATTATAGAATATTTTTAATAAAATATAATACAATTTTTTTGACAGATCTGACATGTCAATATCATCTTTAGGATTATGTTGCGGACAAACTTGATGTGATGTTAAGAAGGTGTATCTCTTCTATCGATAGATATAAAAAATTATATCAGATATCTTTGAAATGGACCTATATCGTATATTTTAAATATTACCTATTTAATTTTATTAAAGTTGAGGTAGTCGTCATGTGTGAGTTACAGAGTAATGGGATAGAAATAAAACTAGATCCTTAAGCTATCACATAATTATTTAATCCATATCTAATCAGTGATTAAACAAATCTATTAGAGCTCAAGGACCTAGTTTTATTTCTTTCCTTTTTTTATTTTAATTTAAAATTTTATCATTATTAAAAAGTAATTATTTAGGTTCCTTTTATTTTTTATATTTTTATTAATGACTTTTAAGACTAGAGAGTCATCATATTAATGACACATCTGATATTTAGACTTCCGACGTAAGGAAAACAAACGAATTTCGTACAGCCGACGATGAATTAACAAATCGATTGCCGGTTGACGTCATTAACATTATAATATGCAACTCGAAATGTATTTATACTTCTAATATGTGTACAAAAGAGAACGATTTAATTTTAGAACACGATGTTCAACTGGCCGACTCGCTTCCTAGCTGGAGTAATATTTTACCTAATTATCTGAAACGGCGGTCAATTTTCAATTTTGTAGAAAGGAAGATTGTTCGGGGTTGGAACATGCTATAAAACAGGGATTCTCAAAGTGGTGGAAATCGGTTTCACAGGGGTCGACATAGACGAAAACTGTTTTTGGGGGTCTAAAAATCCACTACTATTAATTAAGACAAGTTCTTATTTGAAACTTTCAAGATACTGTATAAGTTGTGTTACATGTGCCAACTTGTTATAAGAATGTCTAATATTTTATTTACAGTGTCTAGGTACACGCTAACCTGTACGCAATTCAAAAAGTTATGTACACGCGAAACGTCTTGAGAGAGTAGGTGAGCTGTGTCTAGGCCGTTGGTGTTAATGTCGGTCAGTGTAGCTAGGTATGGATTAAAATTTTCTGGTGGCGGCTTCGCCGCCACCCTACGAGAAGTCGTTGCTTCGTTTTCTTCTTGTCACGGCATTATTATTATTTATTCATGTATGTGAAATTTGCTTTTAGGGTTGATAAAATACTACTGCTAGTCACGGCGTAAATGATAACAAACAAGACGCATTCACACAAACACCTCCCACCACAGCAATATGACGTTTTGCGTGTATATAATTTTTTGATTTGTGTACACTTTAGCGTGTACCTAGCAACATCGTATTTTATTAGGAAGTATCATTGTTATAGTTTTAAGAAACTCAACAAGTCGATAAGTGTTCACAAGTTCGTACAAGATGAAAACTAAGCAAGTCAATAAGCTTGGACAAGTTCGTGCAAGACTACGATTACTTCTGCACCATGAAATTAAGAATATTAAAAAGTGAAAATACAATGTTCACATTGTCAAAAAATATACAGTATATTAACCCTGTTGGAATATCGACCTGTTGGAATATCGACCTGTTGGAATGTCGCTATCCCAGAAAAGTATTTAGGCCACAGTTGATTCCAAAGATTTTAATATAAAAATACAAGGTTTTACTTTTGACAATCCTTTTTTTTAATTTTCAAAAAAACATTACATCAAACTCAAAAACTAGTGAACAGTATATAAAAAAAAAATACAACTAAGGCTTAAAAAGTAACTAATAGTAACTAATCGGGCAAAATAAACATGAGACGCTTAATAGTATTTGGATGTGAGAGCGGTAAATATAGTAATTGATCTAACCACACCCTTTGGATGGCCAGCATGCGATATTGCGGTCCGCACTCATTCGCATTATTTTATTTCTCTCTTTTCAATTGCATTGTATTCTCTACCGTATTCCTAGAGTATTTTTAGTCACAAATAATGTAACGTTATAAATTGTGTAGTATCATACATTAAATTATTGATTTTAAACAATTTAAATAATTTAAATTGTACAAGCAATTGTATCAAATCTTGTACAAGAAATTGTATAGTCTAATGCTACGGCCACACAGACTGCGATGTTCACTATGTTCGCTACGTCCATTAAAAATATCTCCCATTATTATAAACAGACGTGGCCACATAGATGTAAGACGCTACTTTCGCTATGTTATGTTATGTAGCGAATGTAGTGAACATAGCGAACATAGTGTAGCGCTCAGTGTGGCCTCAACATACACAATTCTATACTCGATGCCTCTAATCCATATCTGTGGAATGGATTTCTGGACAAAACAACACTCACTACCTGTACAATTAATTTTAATACTTAACGTTATTTTGTGATACTTCATTGTTAAATGTTAAAAACCTTTCTAATGTTTAATAATCTGTGTTTAGTAATATGTGAACTTTGGAAATATACAGGGTGTTTCATTAAAAAAAAAACAACACCGACTATGGCATACTTGCGTGAATCACCCTGTACATTTAAATTTATGTTTACATAACGCACAACTCAATTCAAAAGTTGACGTGTCTCGGCATTTTTTACAATTTTCTAAAATAATGACATAAAGAATTTTATTCCATAAGTGGTTTCCACACTGTATATAAAGAAATGAATAAAACTGATTGGCTCTCAAATTCATTGGAAGTTTACACCTTTATCATCGGTGCAACATCCTTAACTTTTAGTATGTATATCGTGCTTAACTTTAAAAAAAATTCAAAGTCTGCTTGTTTCTAACAAAAGTCACTAAATTTGTCAAATGTGCATCATTCGAGTTAAAATTTAAAGTTAAATATCTTGGGAACAAAATTTTAGTAAAAAGGAGTCAAGATGGTTATGGGTCAGTTTTTAACCACCTATAGGAAAGACTTTCTGTGGCCATACGTAACAACACTAGGTTTCAAGTAGGTATTTCTTAATATTGACAAGTAGCTTCCTATATTTTTAAAACTGTTAATGTAGCTTTTTCTATTTAAAATTCATCCCACACCCAAAAATCTGTAAGCGGTATCATTTCTCTTCAAAAAAGGAGGAGGTTCTTAATTCGTCGTAATATTTTTTGTATGTTCAGCGATAATTCTTTACCACGGTGTCCGATTTTAATGATTCTTTTTTTGTTAGAAAGAAGGTACTTCAGGGGTTACAATCTAATAATTGGGTCCATTAGAAAATCCTCAAACTCTTCATTTTTTATGTATGTTTAGCGGTAATTCTTTACCACCTTATCCGATTTCTATGATTATTTTTTTATTAGTAAAGAGGTACCTCAGAGGTGATCCCCTGAAAATTTGGTCAGGATGTGTTGATGGCATCTGAACGATTTTGAAGTTGGTTTTTTAAAATTACTTTCATAACTTGTGTTTAGTTCAAAACTGCTTAATTTATGTTATAATTATTGTTATTATTATACAAACTAGAATTTCAGATTTAGATAAGTTATAGTTGTTGCAATGAGACTTGTATTAAGAAAAGTTACTTTCATAACTTGTGTTTAGTTCAAAACTGCATAATTTATGTTATAATTATTGTTATTATTATACAAACTAGAATTTCAGATCTGGATAGGTTTTAGTTGTTGCAATGAGACTTGTATTAAGAAAAGTTGGTTACACTGCTTACACTTACCATCTTAAAAATATTTTCTATCGAAAACGACCAGTATATTGTAAAACCCAAATTTATTTGTGTATTTATTTCAGACCAGAATCAGAACATTCTTCACACTCGCACAAGTTAAACGAGTGTCGATGCCATGCATTGAATGATGTAAGACCGACCAGCATGCAAATTATTGGCCCAGGTGCTCACAAGGATGACCAATGGAGTAGATTGGGACCAATGGGTCCACTTCTGGAACCGAAGATGTTTGGTGCAAAAACTGGTTCAGCTCCAGAAACGGAAATCAGCAAATATAATCAGCCTAATGTGTTCATGAGAAAAGTAATTGAAATAATTTTAATTAACCTAAAGGAGACCCAACACGCTAAGATATTTTTGAGATTTGAACTGTACAGGCTATTAATTCAGAATATAACTTAACGTAAAGTGCTCGATCTGAGTCATATCTGGACTCTTCTCTTTTGTTGTCTTTTGTTCTCTTTTGTCTAATGTGAAGATGAAGAGTCGAAAGAGCTAATTAAATTTAGATTTTAAATTAAAACTGTACATTTTGGTCTGTAGCTCTTATCGGAACGTGTAGGGTCTCCATAAGGTGTGTTCCAATAACGATCAAAAACCAGTCACACTGTGCAGTAGATTTGTTGGTCCCAATAATCTACTGCGAATGATCCTGGTGCCAGTGAGTGGATTTTAATCGTTTTTGGCACAAACCTCTAATATTCCGTTCGTTTGATTTAATTGCAGTTTTCGCTAATTTTTAGGCAATATTTATAGTAGATATTAATATAACTTTTTCAAAATTAAAGTTATCTAAATAAAAAAAAAAGCCTAGATTTAGACCACAATTACAAAGCTTGCTACAACAATATCAATCACAATTTCAGGTGTTCGTGAAGAAAACTGAAAAATATAAAAGTTAAAGTGTATTAGCATTGGCACTCCAGTTGTATTTTTAATTTTAAAGGCATACATTTCTATAAATATCAATTTTTTGATTTTTGGGAAATTTTCCACGTTTAAAAAAGCTAGATTAAAACCACATCTGGTAAAGGCCAGTATTGTTAGTCTCAAATTCATGCCCAAAGCAGTAATATAATTTTTTTATATACGAATATGTGAAGTGATAAACCTTGGAGTCTAATTTTATGAAAACTTCGACACCATCAGTAGTTTTATCCTTATTTCCACAGATGACAATATAACTGATGTCTTCTGTAAAATATATGTATTCTATTTAATGTCTATTTTTCATTTAATAATAATTTTTAGTTGAAAGAAAAGTATCCGTTTATTTACGAGTGCTTAAAAAACGCTCCTCCTGATGATCTCATCAGTCGAATTAACAAAGAAAGACTTTCAACCACGTATCAAGTGGACTACTGCAAAAAACGTAAGTTATTTTATATTATGATATAAGAATAAAAACAATTTGAATACTAGTTGTTATATACTATCTTATATAGGCCTTTTGAATGACAGCCACATTTCATAAATATTTATTTAAAGCCATCCTATTTCTAACTCACGAAGTTTAAACAAAGAGAACTGTAACAATGCAAACGCTTCTTTCTAATTTAAACGGTACCTAGTCAAGTTATTTGATAAAAATCCTTATTTTTGTGTTAAAATTTCCTCAAATTCGATCTGAAAATCCTAAGACCCTACAGACAACTCAGTGATGATTTCGTAAAACCATTTTGTAGAGTTTGTAAAGAGAAATTTAACGATGCACACCGCTTCTTTCTATTTCAAAGGGTAGTCAAGTTATTTATCAAAAACCCTTATTTTTTTGTTAAAATTCTTCCCAAATTCGATCTGAAAATCCTATTCTATGGCTCTACAGACAGCTCGGCGGCGATTTGGTAAAAACCATTCTGTAGAGCTCTTAAAGAGAAATTTAAATATGCAAACAGCTTCTTTCTAGTTTAAACGATGCCTAGTCAAGTTATTTAACAAAAACCCTTATTTTTCTGTTTACATTTCCCCAAATTCTAGCTGAAAATTCTATTCTATGATCCTGCAGACAACTCAGCGGTGATTTGGTGAAAACCATTTTGTAGAGCTCTTAAAGAGAAATTTAACGATGCAAATCGCTTCTTCCCAGTTTAAACGATAGTTAATGTTATTTAACAAAAACTCGTATTTTTCTGTTAAAATTCCCTCCAAAATTTGATCTAAAAATTCTATTGTATTGCCCTACAGACAACTCAGCGGTGATTTGGCAAAAACCATTTTGTAGAGCTCTTAAAGAGAAATTTAATTATATAAACCGCTTTTTTCTAGTTTAAAGGGTACCTAGTCAATTTATTTGACAAAAACCTTTATTTTTCTGTTAAAATTTTCCAAAATTCGATCTGAAAATCCTTTTCTATGGTCCTACAGACAACTCAGTGGTGATTTGGTAAAAACCATTGTGTAGAGTTTGTAAAGAGAAATTTAACCATGCACACCACTTCTTTCTAGTTTAAAGGGTAGTCAAGTTATTTATCAAAAACCCTAATTTTTCTGTTAAAATTCTTCACAAATTCGATCTGAAAATCCTATTCTATGACCCTATAGATAATTCAGCGGTGATTTGGTAAAAACCATTTTGTAGAGCTCTTAAAGAGAAATTTAATTATGCTAACCGCTTTTTTCTAGTTTAAATGGTACCTACTCAAGTTATTTATCAAAAACCCTAATTTTTCTGTTAAAATTCTTCACAAATTCGATCTGAAAATCCTATTCTATGACCCTATAGATAATTCAGCGGTGATTTGGTAAAAACCATTTTGTAGAGCTCTTAAAGAGAAATTTAATTATGCTAACCGCTTTTTTCTAGTTTAAATGGTACCTACTCAAGTTATTTAACAAAAACCCTTATTTTTCTGTTTTAATTCCCCTAAATTCGATCTGAAAATCCTATTCTATGGCCTTACAGACAACTCTACAATGATTTGGTCAAAATCATTTTGTAGAGCTCTTAAAGAGAAATTTAACGATGCAAACCGTTTTTTTCTAGATTAAACGGCAATAAAATCAACTATTTTCCAGTTTTTTTTTTAAATTATTAATTATTTAAAAAAAATACCCATTTTACTCTAATCACCATGTGATCACAGTTGATCAATGAGTAATTTTAATAAACTTAAATTATTACGTATTGAAAATCAAACTCAACAATAATCTGAAACTAATTTTTTCAGAGTTTAACCCGTATATTTTCTATTTAAAAGCTAAATAAATTACAATATAATCTCACCAGAATAAAATATAATTTAGATTATGACATATAAAAAGAAACAGTGATCGCATAAATAATTTATATCAAATTTAACCCTCTAGCCGGAGAGGCTAGCTGCGATATCAGTGTGTATTCACATTCTCGCAACAGTTAAGCAGTGATTTCTCCGGTCACGTCGTGGATGAGTGACCTCTGGGACGTTTCACCATAGGCCGTGTCACTATAAGATTTATCGTACTAGTGTTTCACCATCGATGACGTGAATTGAATGACAGTAAATGAGGGAGGTGAATTGGTGAATGGGAAAGTAGTAGATCCTTCAAATAGGTGGTACAATAACCTACAGGCTATAGACGGATTAGGGTGTTAAACTAAAAGAAAACTCTAGGTCTCTAGAATTAGGCGATTTAATTATTATTGATTAAAACTGGTTGGTTTTTAAATAAGGTTACATTAACTAAAATGGTAAGCAACTCTTACACAATGCAAAATTTTCTATTTGCATTTATTTTTCTCGCTTCAGGAGAGTACCCAACTGGACCATACGATGAACTTCTCGCAGCAGCTGGCGTAGAAGGTCTTCCACCATGTCCTGAACCGGTGAAGATTCCTGGGGACATATGCAAGCCCAGAGGAAAAGTGAGTGCCAAGAAGGACAGCTCGTTCACGACGAATTTGAAGTTTGAAAACAAGAAGTCGAAGGAACCTCCGCGTAAGTTACAGCTTTTCATTTTAGCTTATACAGGGTAAACCAGTAAATTGTCCGATACTACAATTTTTTTTAAGTAATATCAAAATATGTTTTTTCCTATTTTTATAAAATTTTCATAAGTATTTAGCAACTTTATAATATAAGTTGATTCAGTTATTCCAGAGGTGTTCTCACAGTACACTTTTTTAAATTTTTAATAATTTTTTTAAGTAAACTAACTAAAAACACAACTTTTTTGGATCCTAAAATTTTTTGTATCTTTGTATCTTTTCTAGAATCGCTGGATGATGTCTATGTTGCTTTTACTGACACAACCTCACAGCTGAATGCAATAAGTCCATACGGGCTTGAGAATATGTTTATAAAATAATTACTTATTACATTTTGACATATGTACTCTCTTTCCGTCAGCCAATACATCTATATCTACTAGCTAGTACTTTTCTTTTTTTTTGGGCCCTCCAGCGCAGCTTCTCTTCTAGGATAATGGCCCAAGTATTTTATAGTATATGCATACGGTACTTGGGTAATATTAATGCTAACAAGAACGTGTTGTTTATTTTCATTTGTAAGGTTGATGCAAACATACTTAGTCTCGTTCAATTTAGTTTGTCATTATTTAGTCAAATTATTAATTTTGTTAATGGCTATTTGTAGATTTCTTACAGATTCTTCATGATCATCGCCCAGAGCAAATATGACAGTATCCTCAGCAAAGGCAGCTATCGTGTCTTGTACCAAGTTTGAAATATCACTGGCAGGGCCACAGGGAAAAATACTGGCAAGGGTCCACCCCCTACATATTATAACCTATTTTTTAAAGCTGCCGGGTCTCCCTTGGGCTTGGTCCCCGGGGATTTTGCCCCCCTGTCCTTTCCTCTCGTCGGGCCTGATCACTGGTGTATATCTGTATCTGTAACGTGTGGAGGATGGGTTACCCCACGGCATTTACGCCTCATTAGGCCTATTGTGCATCCTCCTGCGATGATAGGCACCTCCTTACTCGTGAGCCTACAGATTTAATGTAGTTGACAACGTCGCAGAGTGCCGATTCTGACAGCTCCATGATATTGAGATGCTTTCCTACTTGGCAATGTCCAGTCAGAATGCCTGTGACTAGGCGCAGATTCTGTCTAGTCATAATCAAGTATTTGTTTGCTGCAGTGTTGTCAGGATAACTTAAGAGCTCCCTGGCAACTCTGCAGTTTCTTGTTTCATCCCATTTCTCCTTGAATTTCACAAGGGAATGTTTTTTGATTAGGTCTGTCACTACCGATTTTGTCAGGCCAATAGAAGGTTCAGGTCCAAAAAGTATTTTGTTGGCTGCTTTCTTGGCTAGTGAATCAGCAAGATTACCTTTCGATGTGACGTGACCTTTAATCCATCTTAAGGTGAATACATTGTTATGGATACTTCGGCCAAAGCTTCGTGACATTCCAGTACTAACCCTGAATAAATTCGTGGTCTGTTCAGGGTGAGTAGTGCTTGTCTGCTATCTGTATAGATGAGCATGTTCCTTGCAGTGATAATCTTTCTGGTTATTTCTTTTGCTGCTATGAGAGTCCTTGTCAGCTTTGTTTGAACTACACTGGTACTATTGCTCACAGCCTATTTGATGTTTAAGTTTAAGAATCTGAAGTATATTCCACATCCTGAGCCTTGTTTTGTTTTAAAACCGTCGGTGTAGACATGAATAGTACCTGCCACTTCCGGCTCTTCTATTTGTTCTATTATATCTTTATATGGCTTATGAAAGATATATTTCGGTGAAATTGAGTCCATGTTCGCTTGAAGCAGTGGTAGCGTATCGAGCGCCTCCTGCCAAAAGTGACGTGAGAGCATGTTATGTATCCACCCACTAAGCATTTGTGGAACATTCCTATTGGTTAGTGAGTGTATTATCTTTGGGAAGGTGGTTTTATCAAAAGCACCTTCTATGTCTATGTAAACACCCAAGGCGGACTCCTTATTGTCCAGGGATCATTACTGGTGTATAATAAATATAGGACTGGGCCCAACACACTGCTCTGTGGTATTCTTGCTCTATTTTTCTAAAAACTTAATTTGAGATGTACAATAATTATTGTGCATATTTGTTGGGAGTTTTTTACTCCAGTTCCTCATGAGCCCACTTTAATAAAACTTTGCGCTACATCAAAGAAGTTGGTAAAAAGGAGGAGGTTCTGAATTCGTCGGTATATTTTTTTTATGTATGTTCAGCGATAATTCTTTAACACGGTGTCCGATATCCATGATTCTTTTTTGAAAGAAGGTACTTCAGGGGTGATTCCATATAAATTTGGTCAAAATTTAATAATTGGGTCCGATTTTTACAATTCTTTTTTTGTTAGTATAGTATCTCGGGGGTGGTTCCTCATACATTTGGTCAATAGGTATGCTTAATTTAAACAGGCCAGTTTCGCAAGATCAGTTGTCTTATAGTCTCTTAGATTCTTCAGTATTTATATCTGAAAAAAATATTTGATACAATGTAATTGTTTATTATTGTGTCGTTTTTTTAAAACGTATACAGTTCATCAAATTTCTAGAGGCTTTCGACGGCTAGACAGAGAAAGCACTACTGAGAGGCATCGGTTGGCGGGGCCGACGGATTTACGCAATGAAAGTACACTCTGCGCATCAAGTATTTTACTATTTTATTCAGACGTAAATGTCAGATGTAAATTTCGCTAAAACATTTCTTTTATTTTCGTTTGTGTTTTTTGCTCATTACAGTTTAATAGAACCTAAGTATGGAGTTTAATAGCAAATTAAGAGGCCGCGTGATTAACAGTCAATCTCGCGAAATAATAGCCAATGTTATAGAGTTTATGAGAAGAGAAGGAAACTTTAATTCACCTTCAATACCATTTAAAAATGTAAATGATCGTGTTGCTGCAGCCACAGGAGTATCTAAAAACACTGTCGTCCGCATTTCTGGAGAGAAAAAAAAAGAATCGATAACCGTGAGATATCGGAATTTTCATCACCAAGAAAAACCATTAAAAAACCAAAAACAGTTAATGATATAGATGAAGCTGACAAAGGTATTTTAAAAAGAATTATTCTGTTCATGTTAATCTCGGAATATATTGTTCCAACATTAAAAACAATTCTGACTAAATTTAGAGAAGCTACAGAGTACAAAGGAAGCTATGAAAGTTTAAGAAAAATAATAAAGTCGCTAGGATTTCGTTGGCGGAAAACAAAAACAAACAGAAAAATATTAATGGAAAGGTTTGATATTCAAAAGCTACGTTCAGACTATCTGATTCGTTTAAAAAGTTATCGAGCAGAGGGCCGTCCAATTGTCTACTTAGATGAAACATACATTCATGTCTCCCACACACACCAGAAAGCTTGGAGTGATAATTCAAATGAGGGATTAAAGAAACCAATTAATAAAGGTGATAGACTAATTATTGTCCATGCAGGAGGTGAAATGGGCTTTATTCCGAATGCCCGGTTAATTTTCAAATCTGGAACCAAAAGTGGAGACTACCACGATGAAATGAATTTTAATAATTTTTCTAAATGGTTGAAAGAAAAGCTGTTTCCGAACCTCCCTCCAAGAAGCGTCATTATTGTTGATAATGCTCCTTACCATAATGTCCAGGTAAATAAAGCACCAACGTCAACTTCTAAAAAAGCTGACATGCAGGATTGGTTAAGGAATCATAATATTGCTTACGAAGAGGATATGCTCAAAACGCAATTATACAGTTTAGTGCTATTGCATAAGTCACGATTTAAGAGGTATGCAATTGAAGAAATGATAAATGAACATGGTTTTAGTTGTTTGCGTTTGCCACCGTATCATCCCGATCTTAATCCGATCGAATTAGTGTGGGCATCATTGAAACAATATGTAGCTAGTAACAACACTACATTTAAGAGGCAAGACGTACAACTGTTGTGTGAAGACTTTTTTGATACGTTTTCTAAAGAGGAGTGGCAATCTCGTTGTAATAATGCTAAAATGTGGGAATCTAAATTTTATGACATAGAAGTTACTTTGGATGAGGCAACTGATAGATTTATAATTAACTTAAACAGTGACAGTGAGACTGATTTTGAATCTGATATGGAAACTGAAGAAAGTTTTTCGGAAGACTATTAAAATTATATCTGTACCTAAGATCAAAAAAGTATTATCTATTTTTACAACGAAGATGCACAAGAATCAAATTTTATTTTTTTATTATTAGATAGCTATTTTTGTTTCTGAGTTGTGTTCATTTACAGGCTCAATTTTTTTCCGTTTCTCCTTTTTGATTTTATATGGGGTTTCAAGTTGTTTTTGACTTATTTCGACGTAAATCACAACAACACACTTATTTAATAAAGCAAACAAGTGTTAAGAGGTATATGTACGTGTAAACTACAATTACAAAAAATTGATATGAAACCCATGAAACCACCAACAAAAATGTAAAGCTAGCTTCCGTACTAGAACATGGTGTCATTCGTCGAGATAATTTATCGTTTTGTTTAATAGATCAAGAAATGTAAATATTCCCCTGTTATTTTTTATAAAATTATAAGAGAAATAATTTTTTTTCTAAATAGTATAGTTTATTATTTTGTAGAAAAACAAAATTTCGAAAATTTTAGTAATGTTTCAGAAACAACCGTTATCAATAATAGGTACCATTTTCCTTAATAAGGTAGAAATAAAATATAAACTATTTCCACGATTTACAAAGGCCTACAAAAAAATTATAGGTATTTTCCGCTATCCTATAAAATTTATATTTTCTGACTCAATTTCAAAAGGTTGAAGGAATTCCAAAACACCTTTTATGGCATAATAATTATTTTCAATTCTACATACTATCTTTAGCTGCTTTTAAAAACGTTCTAAGAAAGTCCAATCAGACCAATTTAATCCCTAAACTATTCCACACTTTTAAAATTTAATTACCTAAAAATATTAAAAACTATTTAAAATGACTTGTTTAGCAGACTGTACAATAGCTATCTTAGTCACACGTAGCGCGTTCTCTGTCTGGGCGTCGAACACCTCTAGAAATTTGATGAACTGTATTTCATTAATAATATTTATATGATAAATTGTTTTCACGAATAATTATCTTTTGTAGTTGGTAGTTGCAAAGGAGGTGTCTTCTCCGTAACACCGAAAAATACAGAGTACCAAGATACCCATTCTAGACTTGGTAATTTAATTATAAGAGATGGCATCCACGACCCGTCCCGTAGAAAGGCATTCGGCAGTGCATCTTAAGGAGTACACCTAAGAAGAAAAAAATTGTATAAAAAAAGTATGTAACTAAGTTTCTATTCACACTGGCATAGAGAAGAGTTTTAATCAAATTACTTGAAGCTTCGTTTCAGTGTATATTCCATTCTATTTGGTTTCGATAAATATTTCCAGTGATTTTTTCACATCTATTGAGTTAATAACCGTGAATTTTATTAGTAAACAATCTTACAATCAACAAAATTGTTTTAACTTGCTTTAGAAAAGACTCGTCTAGATAACGCAATTGTCATTTTTAAGGTTATAAAGTGAGGTTGTTTTTAATAATTAAATTCGTGGCATCTTCTCGAAAAATGTGAATTTTGAGTTGTCACTTTTGAAGCAAGCAAGCGCAAATGTTTCTAAAGTATTGTTTCTGGATTGCTCGATATTAAATTTGTATAACATGTAATTATTAAATATTAATTTAATTATCTTATTTTTTATAGGGATGTTACCTGTTCTACTTTGCTATAGTTTTGATTAACAAAAAAAGTTTTAATATTATTACTTTATCACATATTTTATATTAGATTTATATTGATGGGTACCAACTCTTTTACTGCCAGTGTGAAAGTAGCTTAGCGTTACTAATTTATTTTTGTTGTAATGTCTACTACTTTCTAAAAGTAATTGTATGTCTTTCAACTAATCCAATTTGTTTTGCGACATTTTATTTTAAATAACGCAAACTTTGCAAAATAAATTGGATAAATCTATATTGTTTTGTCTTGTGTATTAATTGTTTATTTACATGTATAAAACCTGTTTTAAAAAAACTGATAAATAAAATAATCAAACCAGCTTGTGTTTGTTTCTTTGTAGCTAACTAAATGTTTCAGCATTTCAATTTTATTATACAATAATTTTTTTAACCAAATAAATTTTACGATTTTTTCTCTATTAATTGAATATTTTTGAATAATCGATTATTTCGATGTATCTTATTATTTCGAATAATCGAATATTTCGATTAATCGAATAATTCGAATATTTAATTATTTTCAATTAAGTAATCGATTATTTTTAATTAATCGAAATATTCGAATATTTTTATTAATCGATTATTGTTGAATAATCGATTATTTACTATTAATCGATTATTTGCAATCGATTATTTCGATTAATCGAAAAGTATCGATTATTTTAAATATTCGACAATCAATTATTTATTCTAATAATCGTCCAGCCCTAAATTCCACCCATCGCTTTTTTGGAAAATTTCCTACCCGATCGATAGGTATGTTATGTTGGAAATGGGTTGTTAATACACTGTGACATAAAAGATCTACTGTGCCCCCCTCTGTCGCCAATGCACTAAGGAAATGTCTCAATGCCTATAACGATCCTTCCATTCCTATTTTCTCAAAGAAGTGTAGAATTTGAAGTGGCTTCAAGTTGGGTAAATCTCCCTCTTCTATTTGGATTCTGGAGTGCTACATATTCAGTTAGGATGTGAATGCAGGTTTCATCCTCCTCCTCACAGAATCTTTACTCACTATCCTCTACTACTCTCAGTTTACTTAGGTGTCCTCTTAGTCGGCAATTTTCGGTAAGTATCCCTGCTACAATACGTAGTCTGTTCTTGCTCAGGCAGATGCAGGCTTCCGATCTTTTCTAGTTATATTCACCCAGAAGTATCTTGGCCTGTCTCAGCCCCAAGAGATTGTTCCAATTATCGGTTCTTTTACTGCCCAATTCTTTTTTAATCTCTCCTAATATTATGTTACTGCTGATACCGCAGAACGGCTCAGGTCCTACAAAGAGTGTTTGAGCCCCTTTCCTTGCAAGACTATCTGCAATCTCGTTACCCTGTACCCCGTTATGTCCCGGGACCCAAGTGAGAGTAACTCTATTTTTCTTGCCTAGCTCATTCAATTGTTTATTAGGCTAGGCATATCCAAACCATTTTTGAGCTAACACTTAATAGTTTAGGAGTTCGGCCATAAATTCAAAGCTGCACATATAGATCACTGGTTCAAATCCGGCTCGAAGGACCATATTATCTGCTATTAATTCATCGGCTGAAAACCTTGAGAGAAGAGCCCCTTGTTCATAAGATTAAAGGCTAATTAACGTTGAGTTATTTAATTATTCTACGACTAAGCCATTTATTTGCTTCTTTGAAACTGATACCCCATGTTAGTAGTGTTTTTATCTATACCGAAATATATGCCGACTCCAGGCATTCTGTCGTGTCGAAGGTTAAAATTGGAGTGACTGTGTAGCGAGAGATGTAACACTATCCCGAGATATGTTCACTGTTGGAAGTTTAAAAACTGGAGTGTGTAGGCGAGAAAAAATAATTGTATCGTTGTAGGTGATGCAGGAGAACTTGTCAGTTCTTGCGTGTTAAGGGCATGTCCAACTGGTTAAATTAGTTTTTTAGTTATATGTAACAGGAAATAGAAATATTTTAATGCAAGAGATAGAATATATCAGCACCTCAGAAGTAAGGTAAAGAAACCGTGAATTTAATAAATATTGGTATTCTTGCAAAAGACAATTGTTTAAGAAATTTGATAAGTTTTGGAAATAGTTGTAAAGAGTTAAAAATAATATTTAATAAATCAGACATAGATTTTTGTTTAAAAACTGTGAATAAACAACTTTGACTTTATTTTATTTTAAATATCTCACGATATAAAGATACTCAATTTTCACATGGTAGTTATGGTGTACGTGACATTCATCACGTTTAGCAGAAATTATATTTAGCTTGTACTGTATCATAAGCGAGATAAAATTGTTATTTCTAGGACAGAAAATGTGCATTTCTTGAATGCGTGGGTTGAAACATAACTTTGGAGAATATTATGTTTAAATTTAAGAATGTGTTATAAAATTTAAATAAATAGTTTAACTGTTATGTTTTTCGGTTTTTTTAATGTTTTTATTTATAATTATGTTAAAAATTGCTCTATAAATCAAAAGTAGAGGGTAATATAAAGAATTTTCAATAGAGTCATATCAATAGAAAGTTTTTTGTTTGTTTATCACAATTTAGAATTTTCTTAATTACAATATTAGTTAAATTTGAACTTTGATAATGTTTACAATTGTGATGGTACTTGCTCTGATGCATCTGAAGAGGTTGGCGCAAGTGAAGATGCCGATTGTTCTAGATTCTGGCTTTTCACGTGAAATTAAGGTTTGGGTTATCGTTGTTATCGCAGAATTCGCTCGGTTATTACAGATGTCGATTCCTTTGATTCTTGAGTAGAATCTTTCAAATTTATTGGTTCATTAATGAAATCTTCGACATTTTTAGATGATTTTCTTGTTCCTGAGTCTCTGTTACCCGCCTGAAAAATTGGCTTGCTTAGCATACAAGTGAAAAAAGTTGAATTTTCCCCACTTGTTGCACAAAAAACTATTTGTATCATGTAAACAAATTGCTCTCATGTAAAATCTTTCTATTTTACATAAAATGCGATATCACGTTGCTAATTACTTTTGTATTGATTCAAAGTATTCAATACCTTCCAAAAAACAAAAACTTTTACAGAATAAAAATTTGAAAATTCAAAATTTAACCAAACATAAAAGTAAAAGTGACAAAATATCACTTGATTCTTTGACTTCAATAATGTTTGCATAAAGCGCTATGATTTATGTTCCACTAGGTCAAGTAAGCTTTTATTTTATCAACATGGACTCAGCAAGAAAAAATCGTCAAAGACTCCGCTGATGAAACAAAATGAATTTAGAAGATTCTACTTACGAATCGAACAAAAAGTGATCTGTGGATACCTTGCACAAGCCTTAGCAACCCAATAAAAGAGTTCTGGGCCTAAAATGATCTTAGCTGAGCCTTCTTAGGCTAAATCGTTAGGCTTTTCATTGCCCTGATGTCTTTTGTCCTTTGTGACCTGGTATCTAAACTAGGATCACTTTGTTTTGACTGCTTAACTTTGTCAGGTCTTTTAGGCAGTCTTTTAACAGTCGCGATTCGATTATCTTGTACTGAAACAAAACTAATATTTGCTTTAAGATTGTCAAAACATACCTATGTAAGGTAGTATACGCCAGAAATATAAATATCTCTTACTAAATTGATATTTTAATATTGGTTTTAGATAAGCCTCATATTTTTCCTGATAAAGTAACTTACACAGTTCCTACATCTCCACCAGGACCGTATTATACTCCTTGTTCTATAAATTCATGTTTAACTGTTACTAAAGAGAATTTCACACGTTGTAACAAAATCGCTGAAAAAAGAAAATGTAAGTAATGTAAAAATAGAGGCACCTATGTATAACATTTTTATTAAATATTAATATGGCCACTTTTGAATTAAAATGTATTGCTATCTCGTAGAACGTTGTTTTTAGATCATTATTTTCTTTTTATTTAATATTTGAAAACAAGACTTTTGCTGCAACTTACTAGCCTTGCCTAATTTATTTATCTGTCGTAGGTGCAAAGAACTTTATACGAGAAATGGGCGGTTGGAATCCATATGACAAAAAGAAACCTCCAAGTTCAAATATTGTGGAGAAATGGGGGAAAATTAATTATTTGAGTGATCCTCTTCATCATCATAAGGGATATGTTAACCTCTGTAAAATAGATTAAAACAACAAATATTATTTACACATATTTTTTTTATAACTTTCTTCAATAAAATTAAAGAAGAAAAGATATTTTCCATATTATTGATTTTGTAGATTTTATGTTTATATAACGAGAAATTTCTACAAACTTTAAATATCCTAAAGGTTTTGTTCAAAATTCAATTTTTGGTGAAAATAAAAATACATTTTAATTCCAGTTTTTTAAGTAAATATTTTGTTTTAATTTACTTTTAAAAAAGAGATACATATTTATACAGATAGTTTTCTTTTTGTTTGGATTCAGTTATGGAAACATCTGAAGTTTTGATTTGTCATCGTTGTCGCGTAGGAATTTTATCTAATAAAGTTTTGGTACTGGTTGTGAGAGAAACTAAGAGCTAGAAGATCGATTAAGTTTATTTAAACATTCTTGTAGCGTGTGTGAACGAGTTAAGGATGAATTCGTGTTTTGTAGAAGTATAGAGGTGTCATTTTAAGAGTTAGTTGAAAATGAAAAAGTTGGAAGAGGGGAGTTTGTAAACTAAGTCTGTTAGGAAATTCTAGAGAAATGTTTTGATCACTCATTATCACACCACATTGTAAGGCATTATATCCTTATTTTTTGTGCATTTGAAGCAATGGAATCCGTCTGGAAAAAATAAAATTTTGTAATTGATATTAAGTTTGTTACAACCCAATAGAGAACTGTACATCGTACGGTCATCGTCATGCGCAGTAAATAAAGTCCGTTCCATCCGAGAATTGACGATTCATTGTACCGACCGGTTAGCGTTCCAGCCAAACATAAGACCGTTCGGGAGTGGGTTCCTGTACGGTCCTTTCGATACCAGACTAAAAGTTGCTATCCCTTGGGTTGACATGCGCACTGCGTACTGCGTATGAAGACTATTCTTCATAGTTCATAGTACCGCGTACACTGAAACGAGCAAGTCATGTCTTTTTCGTTTGGATTTGACATTTAATACTTGGTGATGTTTGTTCTTGGATAGTACCTAATTTAATTATGAATGATGAAGAAGGTTTAGAACTTGGTCTGAATGAAAATAGAGTACATAAATTCGTTCCATCCCGGTAGAGTGTGATCTCATATACAAGACAATGCCAGGTTAGCGTTTGCGCATAACAAGCTAGTTGAACGATCCCGTGTACCGTTTCGAAACGGTACAAAACTCTTGGTTGGAACATACCTACTGCAATGTGCTATGTTATCACAGATGAAGTTAGTATTGCATGAGGATCGTTGGTGGGATTAGATGCACCAATCCTTACAAAAGTTATAATTGGCAATATATGTGAAAGGTCCAGAACGAGTTCTGGAAATTGTAGATAGTCCTGAACGCGTTCTAATCTACATAAAACAGCCGAAAGGAGATTTTTTTGACATTGGCAATATGCTGGTGGTCAGAACGCATTTTGGTCATATTTTTCGACCGTTGTAACATTTTAACATTCCAGTTAAAAATGTTATTTTAATTGTGTGACATCCTGTATAAATAGTTTTCGATTAATTTAAATTTAATTATCGCCGCACGCAATATTCCAAAGAAAGGGAAATTTCGTGAAGTGAGAGTACAGTAAATCAAAGAATTTTGCCATTAGATTTTGAAATTTTATTTATGATTACTATCTCCTAGTATCTGGTAGTGTTTGTCTGTAAAAGTGAAAATCCGAGTTCACGACTGAGAAAACTATGGTCAATGTGCTCATTTCTTTTTTAATTTTTAAAGGTAAGTAATGTTTGGTGTTAAATTTCTCTGAGCTAGTCAAAATCTCTTATAAGTGTTTTGAAATTAACATTTTATTACACCGTTGATTGAAACTGTTGTTTGATCCTAACCTATATAAGCAATATTTTGTTATTTTTTACTGCCTATTAAAGAATAATACGGAGATTGAGGACATAAAGATAGGAAACGCAACGATGGCGTCATCTATGCGTTTCAGGTCTTAGCTAAAAGTGCACGTCGTTTGTAGACAGACAGTAGAAGTAGACAACAGTCACATACTTTGATTTATCAAAGTATGTGACAGCAGTGGACAGTTTGTAAACATAAATGTCAATTAGTTGTATGTATATCTTAGAATATATATAGTCAGGAAGGATCATGCCATGTCCGCGTTAATCTAATCGATCTGAGGGAAGTGGTAGCCATGTTTTACTATGGATGACTCATCATCATATGATAAATTAGGCATTTCAAACTGAATGGCTACCAGTGGATTTTGACGGGTTATGATATGGCAAAATGATGGCAACCCTGTAGGCCTGGTGATTTGACAAGGTCAATGAAATAGATAGTTAGATAGATTGATCATCCATATTTTTCAAAATAAACATAAGCTTATGCCTTGAAGTAAAAATGTAAGCAATTATTTTTTTTTTAATATCTAAAGACTAAAAATTGGTTTTAAAACACATTTTTGCTAAACCGATTCAAATTAATAAATATTTGCCAGGCAATATGGCCGCTCGTAAACGACCAGCTTTGAGCAATCTATATAATTATATATGTATCATTGACCCTGTTAATGACAACATGACAACAGGGTTGCCATATCTAAACTGTCATTACCCACTGGTAGCCATTTGGACAGGTCGTTGGAATGCCTAATAGTTTCTAAAATTGGTTTATAATTTTCGTGAATAAAATTTGTTAATAATTTGGATGTTTTTTGTGTTAATTTAAACTTTTATCAAGCGTATGTTTTGTAGACTTTTTAAAAAATGTTTAGTGTTTTAGTATTTATTTAGTATTACTGTTAATTTTAAATTTTCTGCGTTAAAAGACAAACAATATGGTCAGTTGTTCGTCTTGTGGATATAGCAGCACAGCTAAAAGTAGAAAGGAATAATCTACATTTCATAAGCAAGTATTTTGTTCTCTCAATTTTCAACCACATTAAAGATTTTTAAATTTTTTAATGTTTTAGAGTTGTAAACAAACATGGTAAGTGCGTCTGCGATCAACTGTGCTCATAGGCGTAGTCTCATGGTTTATAGGGTATACATACTTTTATTTAAACAATTATTTTATGCAATTTTAAGATATTTATGTGGTTGTTAAAATGAATAAATTCTTGTGAAATTTAGATTTATAAATTGATTTCAAGTAAACAATTTTAATATTTCTTAAAGATTCTAGATTTACAAATTATATAAATTAATCCCAAGTAGACAATTTTTAGATTTACTAAAGATTCTCAAAAAACAAAGTTATGGCTTGATTTCATGCAACAAACAAATTGTGAGCTAAAATATCTGAATTTTTTGTGTTCACGCCATTTTAAAGCAGATTGTTTTGATCGAACCTCAAAACCAAGAATAAGACTCCTACCAAGAGCTGTTCCAACAATAAAAGTGGTCCGGTTGAAGTATATAAGTAAATAAATTCTTTACTAACTATATCATGTGCCTTTTTTTTTCGTATAATAGAAGTTTATTGTATGAATGTGATGCACCCTATATAATTAATTACAAAGTTATTTACAAAAACGAACACAAATAGAATTAGTAATATCTCAAGTAAGGAAATAAGTAGCATATCGCATGCCTTAAGATACTGTCTTAGGTCCTATCTTGTTTAATTTTATTTTAAATAATTTGTCGTTTAAATACAGTTTTTCAGACGACACAGTTATTCTGTAAAATGCAGAGAACTGGAATTGATTAAAATTATTAATAGAAACAGAAAAATTTTCGAATGGTTTAATTATAAAAACTTACAAACCTTTGATAAAACTTGTTCCATTATAGTTACAAAAAGATGGCCTCTTTCTATAGAAACATTAAAAGGTAACGTTCAGTAATATCATATAAATATTACAAATGATATTATTAGAGTTAGGTTAATAAAAAAAATGCAAACTTCTCGCAAGAAAATAGCAATTCGTTAAAATGAGAGAAATCGGTCAATTAAGATAATATGAAAATGAGAATTTATTTTCTTTTCTACGCCCCTTTATGACAGTACGTCATTGGTAGATCGGAAACACTTGTCACCATATTCGTCTAGTTCACTGTCAAAATTAGATACCATTGCGATTCCAAGGTCATTTAGGTTTCCTCCTTCCTGACTATATATATTCTAAGATGTATATGGTAGAATCACGGCATGGTAGAATCCTAAATTTAAATTTTAAGTCCATGATTGTATTATCCTCCAGAGTCTATGAGCGTTTCCTATTTTTATGTCCCTTATCTTTGGAAAAATAGTAATATATTCATGTCAAACTATTTTATCTGTAAATCCATTTTTTACGTATGATGAAACAATTCACTACTTTTTGTAAATATTAAACGTGGTGGTACTTACTAGCCAAATAGCACATTTAAACAGACGTCTCTGTCATTTTAGGAAGAAAGAAATATTTTACCGCTATTGGATGGAATTTATACGTTATCAAAGCCTTGAAAGCCACAGCTAAAAAGTTACTATTTATACTTTATTAATATCAAGTTATTAACTGTCTCAGTGACATTCGCGAAACAACAAAATGGAGTATTGGAATATCTTGTTGAGATTGACACAAAATTTCTTAGTTTACGCCATTTTGCGAGCGGCTTTCAAAATTATTTGGCCTTCGATGAGCAAACTGAAAGCTCAATTAATGAAAAAGGCTATTCATAAATAATCCTGCTTTTCTGACAAAATTTAAGTACTAAATAGGTAAGCTCAAACATGTTGGACAAAGAGGCTTTTTTGACGAACAATAGAAGAGATTATAAATGGCATTTGAGGACTCCCATCGCACCTATGTAAGTCTAAAATATTCCATAATTTTCTAAGCTCTACTAATTATTTAGATATATTTAATATAAGAAATATGACAACCATTTACAGTGCTGGAGAGTTTAAACGTTCATGCATAATAGTAAACACAGTCATTATATATTATAAGTTTGTGTAATAAAAGAAAAGTGTAGTTGATCTAGGTAAAAGGAATCTTCTAAGTCTGACAGCAGCTAAAACAATTTAACTAATAAAAAAATTATTTCATTTGTATTAGCAGCAACTGACATTACATTTTTATCCAATAAAACAATCCAGTGTTCAATGTCTCCCTTTGACGCAAATATAATTTATTGCAACGACTTTTGTGTTTTTGTTTATTTAATGCATGTAAGCCTAAGGGCCAATCTTTTCACTTCTGAGTAAAGTTGAAAGTAACTACTTGCTGATTAAACTATAGGGCTATTGATCGTTAATCTGTCAAGTAAACCAACATGTAACTTTACTCAGAAGTGAACAAATTGGTCCTAAGTTTTAAACACTCCTAAATAAATAATAATGTTTATAACAAATATATGCATTATTACTTTTATAGTCCATCTCAGCCCCCTTTGCGAACTAAACCTAACAACTGCTATGTTGCTCGATTGGTTGAACCATATTGCCACTGTGACTTCCATTTGTATGAACCAGAAATGGGTAGATACATGAAGCTGGTTAGAACAGAAAACCATCTCCACAAAGTACTGCACAGTCTGAGCAAAAAGGTAAGTAAAAAGGTTAAAGGATGTGTATGTTATTTGCTCAGAGCTGTTAAAAGCTTGTCTAGCTTCGTTAGCCACAATTAAAGGATCAGTGAACGGGTTTGAGGGCATGGGGTAGTGGTAGGTCTAAGAAGATGTTATCAGAATTTTTCTGTTGCTATGAGAATCCCTCTAAAAAATTTATTTAAGTGGTATTTGTAAAAACATTTTCCTAGCCCTCTAGGTAAAATCTTTGCAGGTTTTTTTGAAGTTTTGTACAATTTTAATGAGACCATGATAAGAATTACTTAATTTTTAGATGGCCATTCTAAAAAGCAGTGTATTAGACCATCCTTGCGACAATGATGATGAAAAAATGGAGACTCTTTTTCAAATTAATTACCTTAAAAAAGGTAAGTTATCTAAAAATTATACCAAAACATTTTTTAATTTTTATTTTGTTGTACATAAACTATTGAATGTACGAAAAAAATTGCAAAAGTGAATAAAGTTTCTAAATTACGTGTGATATTTAAAATATTTTAAATTGCTTTTAAAGAAAAAAGTTCTGATAAGAAAAAGAGATGAAGCTAATTTCTGCCCTTTAGAAACATTAACTGAAAGAAGAGACCCCAACACAAAATAAGGTTCGACCAAAATTATCATTTTTTGGCATTTTGAGACCTAGAAATTTCGACAGAGAGGATCGAAATAACAAAATTTTGGAATTGGGTAGCTGACGATGTCTTGAATTTTTGCAGAATTGGTTTAAATCCCGCTTGGAGTGACATGTCCTAGGAAATTGAGTTCTTTCTTTAGAAACCCAAAGATTTTTGCAAGAATTACCATGTGTTATTGCTAGGACGTGATAGAGCAATTATGTCATCCATATACACCAGGCATATTTCTCCTTGCACTTCTTTTAGAACGTTGTCGTTGACTTGCTGCAATGTTGCAGGGGCATTTTTGAGCCCAAAGAGCATTCTTACAAACTGGTAATGCCCATTTTCTACAATTAAAGCTATCTTTGGGATGTCCTTCCCTGTCATCTTTATTTGATGGAATCCACTTGCTAAGTCCAATGTGGTGAAGTCCAAGTCCAAGTTTATCCAGGATATCTGAGATGTTGGGATGGATTACCGGCCGTCGATTGTTTTGTCATTTACTTTTCTGGGGTCAACCATGATATACCATTTGATTTTACCCTAACCATCGGGTTTTTTTGGAGACAATCTATATTGGAGACGACCATGGAGATTGGCTTGGTCTTATAATCCATTCTTCTAACATGAAGAAAATTTGGTTTCTGACTTCTTCTTTGTGGATATATGGATATTTGTAAGGCTTCGCATAGGCTGGTAGTTCATCCTTTGTCTTGATATAAGTGTTTGACTTCATTAAGCAGGGACTCTGATCGGTGAAATATATCCAAATATTTTCCGCATATGCTCTTCCTCTTTCACGTTTAAGTGGTATATTCTTATTAGATCATCGATATCTTGTTTCGAGTTTTAATGTAGAAATGTTTCCATGGAGTATATGTGGTATTCTTCGACACAAGGGCAAATTGGATTGGATCAAGTGTAGAATTTAAAATTTCTGACCAGGCTGGTTGGTTACTGGCGGTGGTGAGTGTCTCTTTCATTTTAGAGAACTGCTTGGGTATCAGGATGGTTCCTTGATCTTCTTTGACAGGTAGTCGTACTTGGGTAGAGTTTAGTTCTAACTAGATTGAAAAAAATTGGGATTTATTCGTTTCCTAATATTGGATTGGTATGATCAAATTTTTGGATTCTGGAAAATTCAGTCGAGCTTGGAGTTTCAGGTTGTCGAGGCCTATAAGACCATCAAATGTCTTGTGGAATTTAAAAAGGTAGAATTTTTAACTGTTATTTGAAGAAAACTCTGAGACAGAAGGTATTTTGGTACTGTAATTTTGCGCATAATTTTGGAAAATGGAACTGACGACAAATGGTTCATATTTTATGGTACTTTGGAAGCATTGGGGGGGGCTATTTTGGGATTTAAAAAGGATTTGGTTGATAAAGAGATGAAGAGGAGTTTTTTATCGGATAGAAACTGTAGTTCGATTATGTTTTGGGGTTTACTCTTCTTAAGAATTTTCCTCTTCTTCACATTGGTATAATTGTTCACATGCTGTTCTTCTGTAAAAAATTCTGGGTTTTAACTAGCGTTTTCTTCTAAAGGATTTTCGTTATATTGTTCGATATTATAAATCTCTTTGAACTCAAATTTTGGTTGAGATTGTTGGGGCCTTGGGTACATTGGTTGACCTTTATTAATTACATTGATATACTCATAGGTGTTGGCCTGGGTTGTTTCGATAGGCCAAGTTTGGATGACCAAGCGTTTTATTGCTGCGGTTGTCCAAATGTTCTTGGCTGCTTAAAGAATGATTTTTGGTAGTTCTGGAATGGAAGATTGAGGATGTGTATATCTCATCATTGGTGTCTATTGTTAGTGAATATTGTTAGTGAATATTGTTAGTGTCTATTGTTAGTGAATATTGTTAGTGAATATTGTTAGTGAATATTGTTAGTGAATATTGTTAGTGAATATTGTTAGTGAATATTGTTAGTGAATATTGTTAGTGAATATTGTTAGTGAATATTGTTAGTGAATATTGTTAGTGAATATTGTTAGTGAATATTGTTAGTGAATATTGTTAGTGAATATTGTTAGTGAATATTGTTAGTGAATATTGTTAGTGAATATTGTTAGTGAATATTGTTAGTGAATATTGTTAGTGAATATTGTTAGTGAATATTGTTGTCTTGGAGTTTAAAAGTTGTGGATTAGTCTTCCATTTAAAGGTGTTGTATTCTGATAGCAGCTTTTCTGGGAATACCTAATATTATGATCTTCTTAAATGTATTGAATGGCTGCAGTTAGGTTAGTTGGCCTCATTACTCTTATTGTTGACTCTATAGGTTCTCGACGTCCTGCCAAGAAGGTAGTTAAAGTTTGTTGACGAAAGAAGTTTTGTTTCTCTTTATTTCTGAACTCTGGGTATGTATGCAGTTTAGAATACCCATGATTATCTCGTAAAACTGATTTGACGATTCATTTACCAGATCTCTTGTAAGGATGTTTTCATTACATTGATGCCCAAAGTTTTGGATGAGCGTATATTTGTTATCGACCCAGCTTTCACAACCGTATATTGATATAATCTCTTCTGCTTTTCCCGTTAGTTTGCTGGTTATCCCATGAAGTAAAAATTGGTTCTGGATGTTGGCCAAGTTGCTTAAATCGTAGTAATGGTTTAGAAGTAGGGTGGATACCTCTATTAATTCGTACAACTCGTTCGGATTCCCATCAAAATTTGGGTGGATGCACAGGTTCTTGACATCGAAAAGCCTTTGACGTATCTCCTTCTGTACCTCTTTTGTTTCTTTTCTCAATCAATGGAGTAGGCTTTGATAAATACAAAATGTACCCTTGCAAAATATCTCTAATAATAAATAATTTAATCTCTATTTTAGGTTCACCTGTGGCGAAATACAGGAAGCTACGTGCAGCAATAGATTCTCCATTCGGTGTTCCCGTGAAAGGAGAGGTACTAGGTTTAGGAAGAGGCTATAGGGATCCGTTCAAATTTAGGCATAGTTGTTTCCCTAAACCACGTGTGCACCCAGCTCCTTGTGTTACATACCAAGCTAGTAAGTTATACCTACTAATACCATATCTAGGCGCATTTTAAAGCGTACATTTTTCTTTATAATTCTGTGGTCGGCGCTTAAAAGGTAATCAGTCGATATTACACATTTTTGGAGAATGGCGCTGGAAAATTTTGGGACATATGAATAAGGATTTTTAGAATACAAATCGACGATCTTTTTAGGACATTTGGTCCTGTAAAAATTTAAAAATATGTAGAGATATTTTGTTTTAACTGTTTTATGTTAACAAAATTTGACTGTTTGTTTAATTATGACGTTTTGTCTTTCGCGGTTGCCCTTGTATTATTATATATGTTTTTATGTACCTTATTTTTATTACTTTACAACTCATATAGGCCTAGATCCTTTTATCTACCTAAAGTATACACTCTTCTAAACGTACCTTGATTAAAAACTCCATTTACGTAAAAAACGACCTTTTAAGCGCCGGCCACAGAATTGACAGTTTGGATTTAATTTAGAATCGTGTGAAGAAAAAGTTTTAGTGTATCACTCTTATAATACTCATAATACTTTGTTGATACTACTTCAGAATATGCATCAATCTAAAAAATATCAACAGTCTTAACATATAGTATTTTACGACCTCTAAACAGACAGAAATAAGTATTATATTTTAAAAAATTTCTTTTTAGCCCCCAGTCCAGTAGACGAATGGTTCAAGCTTCAAACTGGTACTACAGAGTACCACGATACCATCAATCATATGGGATATAATTTAATAAAGAATAGGCAGCAGTATAGAGAACCTTTGATGACCTCAAGGCGAACTGATAATGAGCCATGCAGATAATAATGTTTTGAAATGCTAATAGTTGAATCTGATAAATTGGTAAAGATCAAAAATTATACACATTAAATTAAAAAAATATAATTCCCTTTTTAACTTTTTAACAAAAAATATTAGAAAATTAGCTATGAAGTTATCCTAAAATCAGTAATAAATTTTTACTAGAAATTTTATTTTGTTTTATTTCATTCTAGCTCGTCTCGAACATTTTTTTTATGTATACCATTAGGAATTTTCATATGTATATTAGTTGATTTTATTGTTAATAGTTCAATCTCATGATTAATATATTTTTTGTTTTGTAACGATTGCTATAAATTTATATAATTATAGTCCATTAATGTCCGGTTAGTAGTTTCTCACCTGGTATACATTTTGTATTGTCGCATTGACATAAAAGTTTTCTCGAGTCAATTTTGCAAATCATTTTATATAGAGATCAAAGACAAATTTTTCATCAACTTCTCACAATCCATTAAAAATATTGGGGCTTTTCCAAAGAAAATAAAGAATTAAAAAAAATATTTATGGTTTAAATATAAAAACGCAATAATTTGACAAAGTATTTGTCTAAATGCATAAAAACAGTCACAGAAGTCGCTGAAAACGAATCTGTTTTCAGAATTTGATAATGTTGATTCCATTAACTGCTAAATTAACATAAAAATAAAGAAATATAATATTTTGGCAAATTGTAAGTAAAAGGTTTTTCAAGAGATGGCTAACAATGATTAAGACATAAAAGGATCCATATAAAATACTAAAATAATTAAAGTTAATTTTTGGAGACTATACAGAGTGTTTACTAATTGAGTGCCGATACTTTAGGATGTAAATCCTTGATGATTTTAAGAAGAGAAGTTAATTTCAACATATGTCGTAAACCTCTTAATTTTTGAGCTACAGTTACAGTTTTGAAAAAAAAATACTTTTTATCATTATTTTCTTATCACTCTAGATATTTTTATGAAATTTTTTACCCACTTTTAAATCATTCAGGGACATTTTTTGACGTTAAATATTTTTTTTAATTTTTAATAGTGACGTCCGTACGGGGCTTGAACTAAATATTTTGAAAGAAAAAAATGATGCGCACCTGCTTTTTATTAAAACCCAAAAGAAGTTTTGAAATCTTTATTTATTTTGGAATAAATTTGGTCCATAGACTTACTTTCGTAAGTTGCATCGTTTTCGTGTAAAAAAAAAGTAAAAACAAAAAAGCTTTTGATATATTGTTGAAATTTAATAATTATTATACTCGTATGATAAAATGACATAAAAATAATAAAGTTTTCAAATAAACATTTTATATAAAAACTAAAGTAACCAATCTATTGACATTTTTATCATAGCTGTCAATTTCTGTTCTAACACAAATGTCTGCTCTGGTATAACCAGCACCTCTTAAATCTGTAGACGAGTCCCTAACTTCCAGTAGGACCCTGTGTCCAAAATGCTGGTTTAGTTCTGGAATGCAAACTTTAGTGCCATAGGGTATCCCAAGGGTTTCATCCATCGATAGGGTTACAAAGTCTGCTCTGTTGTCAGTGTAGTCCTGGAAAAAAAAGAAGAAAAATACATTGATTTTTTTTAAATTTAAATGAGTAAATCTTCAAATGATACTCTTTTAACTATGTTGGGAAGTCGTTAAAATAAACATTTTTTCAAATATATTAAAAAAACTAAAAATATGAAATATACAGAATTTCATTGTCTAAAATAGTAGGGGGAGTCAAAGGGGTGCGGAACCCTTCTCAAAACCTATAGAATTAAAATAATTTTAAATGCCACTATTTTATTAGTCAATGTATACTAACATTTCATGTACATTTTCATCAAAATATGATCAGAGTAAGAGCAAAAGATCAGTTTAAAAAGCACCCTTTAAAATTGTTAGTACTACTTTTTATATGTTCAAGCAAGTTGATTTAAATTTATTTTTGATCCCAGAAACTACATCTTTTTGTTACACCCTGTAGCTCAAAAGAATAAACTTTCTTAGAGGGTCATTAGATCCTGATCAAGCTTATCAAATATCAACAAGTTTTCTACTACAATATAAATAGTGCAGCACTACAGTTGCAGCATAATTTCTGCCAACTTCATATTTTTACTTAGTCAGTGCTTTAATCTTGTCCTTCTTTGCCTTATTTGGGCCTCTTTCGGCATCCACTTTTATGATTACCAAGAATATTCGATAAAGTGTACAAGTAAGAATTTTAAAAAAATCAATACTTAATCTTTAAAGATAATTCGATAATAAAATATGTAATTTACCTGCAATGTTTTCAGTTTTTGCCCTTTTCTATCTGCATAACCATTTTCGTGATCTTGATCTGTATAATCTGGATAGTAGGCTGTTAAAGTGACGTTTAAAAATGTTTTTCCTTTGCATTTTAGGGAAATTTCTAAAATAAATATATTAAAAATTATGTAAGGAATGAATAAAAAATGTCAAAAATAAATAAAACATTAACTCTTTGACTTTTCCTAACTCATGTAAACAATGTTGCAATTAAAGGAACAAGCAGGGGACAATTTTAAAATAATTATGTTAAAATAAAAATATCTTATATACCGATTATGTAGATATGTATAAATATGTATAAATATGTATAAATATGTATAAATATGTATAAATATGTATAAATATGTATAAATATGTATAAATATGTATAAATATGTATAAATATGTATAAATATGTATAAATATGTATAAATATGTATAAATATGTATAAATATGTATAAATATGTATAAATATGTATAAATATGTATAAATATGTATAAATATGTATAAATATGTATAAATATGTATAAATATGTATAAATATGTATAAATATGTATAAATATGTATAAATATGTATAAATATGTATAAATATGTATAAATATGTATAAATATGTATAAATATGTATAAATATGTATAAATATGTATAAATATGTATAAATATGTATAAATATGTATAAATATGTATAAATATGTATAAATATGTATAAATATGTATAAATATGTATAAATATGTATAAATATGTATAAATATGTATAAATATGTATAAATATGTATAAATATGTATAAATATGTATAAATATGTATAAATATGTATAAATATGTATAAATATGTATAAATATGTATAAATATGTATAAATATGTATAAATATGTATAAATATGTATAAATATGTATAAATATGTATAAATATGTATAAATATGTATAAATATGTATAAATATGTATAAATATGTATAAATATGTATAAATATGTATAAATATGTATAAATATGTATAAATATGTATAAATATGTATAAATATGTATAAATATGTATAAATATGTATAAATATGTATAAATATGTATAAATATGTATAAATATGTATAAATATGTATAAATATGTATAAATATGTATAAATATGTATAAATATGTATAAATATGTATAAATATGTATAAATATGTATAAATATGTATAAATATGTATAAATATGTATAAATATGTATAAATATGTATAAATATGTATAAATATGTATAAATATGTATAAATATGTATAAATATGTATAAATATGTATAAATATGTATAAATATGTATAAATATGTATAAATATGTATAAATATGTATAAATATGTATAAATATGTATAAATATGTATAAATATGTATGAATATGTATGAATATGTATAAATATGTATAAATATGTATAAATATGTATAAATATGTATAAATATGTATAAATATGTATAAATATGTATAAATATGTATAAATATGTATAAATATGTATAAATATGTATAAATATGTATAAATATGTATAAATATGTATAAATATGTATAAATATGTATAAATATGTATAAATATGTATAAATATGTATAAATATATATAAATATGTATAAATATGTATAAATTTATATAAATATGTATAAATATGTATAAATATATATAATATATGTATAATAGAGTTATGTCTGTCGTATTGGTGGTCATTCCGTATATGACGTTGAAAATTGACGTAAATACAACATAATTATTGTCAATTGTATAATCATTTATTTCCTATTTGATTATTATTTATCTATTTTAGTTTGGTATTTTTAGTAGGTAGAATCCGATTACAATGAGAAGAACACCGCTACATCATAACCAAAATTTCGAATAGTATCTATAACTGTCAATAACTAAAGACTAAGTAAGTTTTTCGGTATAGTATTTTTAATACAAATCCCGATGCACGTCAGAGATCATTTATGACGTCACGGCCTTGCAGTGTTGTCTAATCGTCAGAATAGTTGAGGAATTTAGAAAGTTTTGAAATTGTAAGGTTATGTTTTCTTTTTGTTGTTACCAAAAACAATTATTAGTTATAAATGTACATAATGAAAAATATTGATTTCCTTTATGCATAATAAACATCTGAATGAAAATGATGTAAACATATTGCAAATATAGTTATGGAAAATAAAACTGTAAATTAGTACCTATATTGCAGATGAACTAAAATTGGTCCAGAATTAGCACAGAAAATATCTCAAACTAATTTCATTTCACCAAGAAATTTATTTAACAGAACTACATTTAAGTTATAAACCACAACACACCATGAAATTAAAGAAATCATTGAAAAAATTAAATCTACAAAGGCATGTAGAGAAGTCACAATATTAGTAGATATATGTACTTAAATAATTCAAGATTGTTAAAATATTTAAATACAAGAAATAAAATATTTGAGTAGGTACTTTAGTAAATTTCACTTTCAGTAATGGTTTTGCGTCTCAAGTATTTAAGATAGTCAAAAGTGCTTCAACTATAGACTGTTATCGCTGCTTCCCTCTTCCCTTCATCTCTAAAGCTATTTAAACATGAATGAATAATAGTATCATCACTCAAACATCAAGATTCTCCACCTTACCAGTTTTAATAGACATTTAAAAACTGTTCTGCTCAGTGAATTCTTTATCAATGCGAAACTGTGAAATATCCTACTTTTTGCTATATCTACTCTTATATATTCAATATTTTA